TCGTATACAACCAAACAATGGGATAGCCATTTTACTGCAAGCACAGTAATTATGCAGCGCTGTATTTAAAGGAGGAAAAAATGAAAAACGTTTGTTCTGATGCCTTTCTGTATCGTCAGCGCATCTGACATCCCCTCCTGTTGTCGATGTAGTGGATACTGCGCCACTGAATGCTCAGCTTGTTTATAAATCCTGGTATTTTTTATTATTCGGGAGTGCAGTGCTGCTTGTATTTATGGGTTTTGTATCTCCTACAGATTTTGTATCTCTCCTCATACGCTCATTTGAAACTACAATCATCCGTAGGAGAAGCGCTAGGAGTTCATCGTGTAGGAGCTTTTGGAAGCATAAAACTGCTGGGGTATGGTGATGCCTGAAACTATCACTTGTCTTTCACATTACTGGTTATGCAAGTTTTTTTTGATGTGGAGCAATGTGCTGTCTTTGTAATGAGACGGGATGTCACCAGAAAAGAAGAAAACTGAGTCGTCATTTTTGCAGAGCAGAAAATGATAGTGGCATCGACTCGTTACGGCAGCACAGCTCTCCATGTAATGGTAACGCTGTGGAGAAACATCACTGCGGCGCTGGACCAGCACAAAGGCGCTTCAAACAGGTATGGAGCAGAGAGTTTGCTCGAATGATTGTCTTCTGGCTGCAGATTGTTTGAAAGTTGCACATTCAGATGAAAAACAAAGAACGACGCAGATCAGCCGGGGGAGGCATGGATTTCCCGAATGAAAGCCAGTTTTCTGATGAATCTTGGTTGCGGTCGAGCTCAAACAGCTCATCTAGTGGTTGTTCGCTGGCTGGAAGCGCATCTCACGAGCTGTGCCTCTGCCTCAGGCATCATTTGAAGCGAGGCCTGCATACGTTAAAGGTTGTGGATCTTCATACTCTACTCCTCCTTGTTACTTATAGCGAATGCTACTAGTCGTGTTCTAAAAGTCCTTTACATGTGCGCTTGTCTTATTGTTATGGTTATTTTTTTCTGCGTGTAATGTATCGTTTAGGCGAATCGAAGAAGCATAGGTTCGATCGAGAAGAGTCTTCTTCATCTGTTTTTATTTTGCACGAAAACCATTAACTTACCAGCTTATGGCATTTTAGACAAGGAGACGAAGGAGGAGGAGAAGGGAGGGGGAGGCAGGCCTTTTTGGGTAAGTGCAACCATGAACTTCGGCTCCTAACCACCAAAAATAGTTATGTTGAGTAGAGTGATTGGGGAAGTGTTGATTAGCTGAACAAAAGGTTCGGGTGTAATTCGGTGAAAAGCTGGCATATTGCTTCTTTCAGCATATTGCTTCATTCCTTTATCAGTCCTAACATCGCCACTGGCAGTGGGGCCGGAGATGTGAGAGAGTTCATTAGATTTCCGACTTTCTTAGTGCGCAGCTGATGTGTGATCTGCTTCTGCGGACGGCCTGCAGTTTAGCTGGTTTTATGATGGAAGAGATTTTAGAAGCTTCTGAATTCTGTTTACTATCGGACTGTAGCCGATCTTTTCTGCGCATTTAAAAGAGTTTTCAACGTTTAGACACTGGTCGTGCTTTATGGGCCGATGGAGTTCTGCAGAAACGAAATGCTTGGGCGGTTGGTTCAGGAGACAGCCACACTGAATGAACTGATCAAACTGGCTTCGTCCAAAATGCAATCATTCGATATCAGCACTGGTTGGACCAAGCGTTTCTTCACATTTTGTAGGATTCTGAAATGAGGGAAGTATATATCAGTTGCCGTATCTGATGCATAGGGAAGCAGTCTGTGTTTGTTGTTTTAGTTGCAAACAAAGATGAGGCAGTGCGTGCGGGAAGAAATGGGAATCATTAATGCAGACTCCTGCCCACTATGCATCTTTGTGCATATTGGTGATTTCTGAGACAGGAGTGAGGAAGGGTATTAGACCGAGGAGAAAGGCGAGGGAAAGGAATAAAACATTGCATGCTTTTAAAAAAAAATCAGCTGTTAATTCACGAGCGAATGCTTACATGTAAAGCAAAATTATCAGTTTTTAATTTCTTCGACGACAGCACGCAGTTTGCGAAAATGCTACAAGGTGGGTTAATGCAGATGTCAATCTCTACGTTAAACTACGATAACGAGAATAACTGAGAGTGCATAAGGCAGTAAAAATTCAGCACAAATTTTATGCTTAAAAATAGCGATGCGTTTAGTTTACTTGTTCTGAGATTAGAGTGGATGAACTTGCTCTGAATTAGCTTACTGCTTTCTCAGCACAAGCTTTTGCAGTACTGTCGCAGCTATCGGCTGCTTTGGAAGTTCGAGAAGTTTGGCTTTCTGCTGCGTTTTCATCGAATGCTCTTCTTATGGTACCAATGGAATCATTAAGACTACAGATACGCAGTCATTTTGGATCAGTTGTTGAAATTCGTTATCCCGATCT